AGAGATTGTAACTTAATTCCACAGAAGAAATGAAGAGAACGTAAATAAGTCAGTTAATATACATATTAAAATCCTCTATATTTGTGCTCTCCTCTCTTCTCATAGCCTCTTTAAAAGACATAAGATTATATAAAGTTATAATTAAAAAACAATGTACTGTTGGATTTGTAGCACATATGGATGTAATAATATGCATAAAAATAATAGCACAAAAGGGAGATGATAAAATAGAGCTTATAGGAGTAAAGTTTCTGAATCTCACTAGGATTAAATTAGTAAGAATCTGAAGGAAATTTTGATAAATCAAAATGCATATTGTAAGCCCTAGATAAACTGTAAGAAATTAAAATATTACACCAGAAAATATCCAATGAATTCAAAAGAAGAGAGTAAAAGAGGAAGAGAGAAACAAAAAATACATGAGTCAGAGAAAAACAGCAAAATGACAGATGTGAATCCAACATTATTAGTTATATCAATAACACTAATGCCAACCAAATAAAAAATCCAATCTAAAGGCAGATACTACCAAAATAGATTTAAAAGAGCAAGATCCAACTTTATACTTCCTATGAGAGACAAACTTTAGATTCAAAGATAATTGGTTCAAAGTCAAAGAATAGAAAACAATAAGAATGACTATAATAATATCACACAAGATGGATTTTAAAACAACAAAAAATGTACTTAGAGAAAAAGAGGGATATTTTATAATGATTAAAAGGTCAGTTCATACTCTGGTTTCTCTTCAGATCGTATAAATCTTTCGCCTTTTTAAAAGGTCAGTTCATAAAGATGACATGCAATTATAAAACCATATGCACCTAACAAAAGATCCCCAAAATAAATGAAGCAAAATCTTACAGAATCAAAGTGAGATAAACAACAGCTGAAGACTTCAATTAGTTATCTTTAGAACACTTGAGCCCCAACACCAGAGTACTCACTCTTCCCAAATGCACATAAAATGTTCTCCAGGGCAGATCATATGTTAGGCAATAACACAAGGATCAATAAATTTAAAAGAACTGGAATTGTACAAAGTAAGCTATCCAACTAAGATAGAATGAAATTAGAAATCAAGAACAGAAAAAATTTGGTAAATTCACAAAACGTGGAAATTTAAAAACACACTCCTAAGTAACCAGTGGGTTAAAGAAAAAATCACAAAGAAAATTAGAAAACACCTTTATATAAATGAAAATAAAAAACACAATACACCAAATCTAATGTAATGCAGTTAAAGCAGTGCTGAGGAAAACTTATAGCTATAATATTTTAAAAGAAAAAATATCTCCAACTAATAAATTAACCTTCCACTTTTGAAACCAGAAAAAGAGCAAACTATACTCAAGCAAGCAAAAGGTTAGAGTGGAAATTAATGAAATAGAAAATAGAAAAATAATAGAGAAAGTCAACAAAATCAAAAATTGTTTTTTTGAAAGATCAACAAAATAACAAGCATTTAGCTATGAAATAAATCAAGAATAGTAATAATTTGAACTAAAATCAGGAATGAAAAAGGGGATATAACAATCAATTATACAGATGTTAAGTAGGACTATAAGGGAATTGTACAAACAAATGTATTTCAGCAAATAAAAAAAAAAACTGTCAAAACTGATAAAGAAAAAAATACAATACCTGAACAGGCCTGTAACAAATAAAGATACTGAATTAGTAATCCAATGACTTCCCACACAAAATAGCCCAAGATCAGATAGCTTTACTGGTAAATTCTACCAAATATTTAAAGAAGAACTAACACCAATCATTCAAATGCTTCCAAAAAATTGAAGAGGACAACAAACTTCACAACATATTCTGTGAGGATAGTATTAACCCCAATACCAAAACTAGACAAAGACATCACAAGAAGGAAAATGACAGACCAATATCCCCTTATGAATACAGATGCAAAAATCCTCAAAGAAAAAAAAAAACAGCAAACCAAATCCAGCAACATAAAAAAGGGATTATGCACCGTGTCCAAGTGAAAATAATCCCAGGAATACAAGGTTGGTTTGATTTATGAAAATAATGTAATCTACTCTATTAATAAAATAAAGGGAAAAAGCATTTGATTATCTCAATAAATGCAGAAAAAGCATTTGACAAAATCCAACCCTCCTTCTTGATAAACACTCAACAAACTAAACATAGAAGGGAACTTCCTCAACCTGACCGAGGACATCTATGAAAAACCCAAAACTAACATGTCATCTAATGCCAATAGACTGAATGCTTTCCTCCTAAATCAGGAACACAGAAATCCTTTTCATGTTCTTGATTTAGAAGGAAAGCATTCAGTCTGATGACAGAATCTTGTATATACAAAATCTTAATCCACTAAGAAAACCTATTAGAAGTAATAAATTCAGCAACATTGCAGGATACAAAATCAAATACAAAAATCATTTATGATCAATTGTGTTTTTATACACTAGGTAGATGTGAACAATTCAAAAGTGAAATTAAGAAAACAGTTCTATTTATAATAGTATCAAAAAGAATAAAATGTTTAGAAATAAATTTAACAAAAGGAGGATAAAGTATATATTCTCTAAGTTAAAAACCATTGTTGAAAGCAATTAAAGACTTACATAAATGGAAAGGCATCACATGTTCATGGATTAGAAGATTTAATATTGTTAAGGTGGCACTGTTCCCCAAATTGAACTAAAGATTCAATGGAATCCCTATCAAAATCCCAGTTTTGTTTTTTGTTTGCAGATATTGAAAAACTGATCCTAAAATTCATATGGAAATGCAAGGGATCTCAAAGAGCCAAAAAAATATCTTGAAAAGGAAGAACAAAGTTGGAGGACTTATACTTTCCAATTTCAGAACATGCCACACAGCCACAGAAATCAAAATTGTGTGGTACTGGCATATGTACACATATAATACAGTATCATATTGACCACTAAAATAGAATTGAGTGTCTACAAATATATCCTTACATGAAGCATTATTTACTATCACCAAGTTATGTTATCAACCTAAGTGTCCATCAATGGAAGAAGAAATAAAGAAAATATGGTATGTATATACAATGGAATACTACTTAGCCTTTAAAAAGAAAATTCTGTCATTGCAACAACATGGATGAACCCGAAGGACACTATATGAAGTCAAACAAGCCAGACACAGAAAGACAAAATACTGAATGTTCTCATCAGTACATGCAGTATTTGGAATCTAAAACAATCAAACTTATAGAATCAGAGAGCAAATGGTGGATACCAGAGGCTGTGAGGTAGGGCTAATGGGGAGAAACATCTCAAAGCATCAAAGGGTACAAAATTGCAATTAGTCAGGAGAAAATAGTAAGTATTTAATGTGACAGATATATTAATTAGCTTGATCCAATCATTCCACACTTTATACATACATCATAACATCACTTTGTACCCCATAATTTTATACAATTATAATTTGTCAAAAAATTTTAAAAAATAGAAATAGGTTTTTTTAAAAAAAAAAAAAAACCTTTCATTTTTGGTTATCTAATTATTCACAAAGGTGTCAGGAGCATTCATTCAATGCAGAACGAATAGTCTTCAGCAAATGGTGCTTGGATAACTAAATATCCACATGCAAAAGAATGAACTTGAATCCCCATCCCATATCATATACAAAAAATAACTCAAAATAGATCATAGACATAAGCATATAAGGTGAAATTATAAAACTATTAGAGGAAAATATAGGAGTATATCTTTGTGACCTTGGATTAGGCAATGTTTTTGTAAGTATGAGAACAAAAGCAGAAGCAACAAAAGAAAAAATAGATAAATTGATTTCGTTAAAATTAAAAACTTTGTACTTCAACAGACACCCTCAAGAAAAACAAAAGACAACCCATGAAATGGGAGAACATATTTTCAAATCATATATATGATAACAGACTTTTAATCTAATGTGAATGTCTCTTAATCAGTTTTACTAGAACTCTTCAAAAGAAAATAAATATCTGTTTTACATAGAAAAAAATAAGATCAGTGTCAACCTTTCTACATTTTCAACATCTACAACCGGGTGATAAAGTCCATGTGAACTTTCCTTTTTCCCTTCACTGAATGAATGGAATATGTGCAATGAAACCTGACTTCACTAAAATCTCTGTATTTAGACTTTCTTAAGCAAGTAATTAACAACCTGTTTCAAAATTATCTTTACCCCTACACTCAGATTCCCAAAGAAATGTTGACATTTAAAAATACAATCAACAACCAATTTATATTGCTTGGGAAAATGGAAATCTTCTTGAAGGTAAAACATTCTTAAGAGCAAATCAGCTCTAAAACTAGAAATAAGAAATTAGCAGGTCTGTCTTACAAACAGAAACATGCCAAATGGAATGTAACAAGTAGCAAAGATTATATTTTCCAAGCAAATATTGTGACAGTTCCTTATAAAATTCACCTTAGTATTCAGAATTTCACTTGTTTTTCTTGTATCTACCAGACGTGTATTTCTCAGTTGACAAAATGAAAGATTTTAATTTAAGAAGACTTAATCCATTCTTTTACTTTAAATATATGCATATGTATGTTCATTTTAAGGTACTGTCCAATAGATATGAACAACTCAAAAATGCATCTGTTTTTGAAGAATGCCTGTTTTTGACAGTGTTAACTTATTTGATATTAAAAGTCAAAATGTCCACATAGAATATTGCAAGTATCATCCATAGCATTTAATAAAGCTCAGGAGAAAATATTGGCTAAGATAATGTTTTAGCATTTTCCAGAATCTGTCACAAAGCACCCTGTTTTCTCTACAGTTCTCTTTATATTTTTATAAACTGAACAGTGGAATAGTGCTTTTGATTCCAGTGTGTATTGCAAAATTCAGAGCCCTAAAAAGAAAACTTAGAAATTGCATTCAAATTGTTTTCCTTGTTATTTTCTCTTGTCTCCTTCCCAACCCTCTAAAAAAATTTATTAATCACCTAAAATTACTAGTATTATTTAGAAACTCCAGGAACACATAAATTATGTTTCTAAAAGTACTGAGTTTATTTTAAAGCATTGCATCAAGTTTGAATCACCATAAACAAACCCATGTCTTCATTATATGTTGATTTTGGCAAAGAGTACAGACTTGCATACAATGGATATGATAAAGTAGTTGAAAGTAAAAGGTATTTGCTTTTAGTAATAAAGTAGTATGGAACTAAAGTACAATATGTACATCTTCTGGGTAAGTGATTTATGCCATATTTTTTATCTTTTTAGAAGTCTTCAGAATTAATATTTTTAGTTTCCCTTTTCATCTGATACTTGTGCTTTTCACTGGAATAGAGGCATATAAAAGATCGATTAATGCATTCACACAATATATGCCTAAACTGAAACAAAAAGGTCAGATATTTGAGAGATAGTGGCGTTTATGATCACAACTTGCTTTAAAGGGGGAAAACCACTAAGATTTCTTTTAGTGAAAACTCAAGGAAAACCAATCTTGGGCAATGAATGCCAACCTATTTTAAAATATTTAATTAAAAGTCTGAGCTCTTTGCAGAAGATGCCATTTTAAACTTCCTTGCCATTCCACTTCCATGACATACATATGCGTATTTCAATGAGTCAAGCAACTTAGAAACATGATGTCATCATAGCTATGTAGTTAAACAAGGAACTTGTCAACTGAATGCATCTATTGCTTTTTTTTTGTGGAAAGTCATGTATTCTGTATGCAATGATAGGCTACATTCAGAAGCCAGAATAACATGTGGTTCAATACATAGAAGTTTCATCTACAAAAGACTGGGAATGTTATAATTATCGCAGGAAATTACAATGTTTAACATATCATAAACATTTCCTGCAAGTACTTTTTAATCACAATAACATCACATCAAAAAGTTACTTATTCTTGTACAGTAAGTTAATGAGGCAATTTGGGAACAAGAGACAGATATTCTCTCTCTCTCTCTTTCTCTTTTTTAAATTCCTCAACATTAAGCTGCAGATATACGTAAGCTGCAATAGTAATACCAAAAAAGGCATAGGGTGCTTTGTAAAAATCACTGAAGTGCCTAAAAATGCCTTGGCAGATAACAATACTATTCTATGATATCTACTTAAAATTTTATTATCATCTCCCATTCTCCTCACCATAATGTTCACATTTTAATTATGTATTCATTTTGATTGTTTGCATGTGAAATCACCAACTAATCTATTATTTCAACAATAAGCCTATTTCTTTTGAAGCCAAGATAATTTTGCTATTGTATAAAAGCAACGGAGACTTGTTTTTCAAGATGCTTAAAAGGCAGAATGCTTAAGTTTCATGCTTGCTGCTTTGCCTGGGCTTCTGCTTCCTGAAATGATAAACAAAACAAAACAGATAAGTTTGAATATTGCAAAGAAGACATCCATGTGTATTTTGGTTAGACTGCATTAACTCAAATTACTAAGAATATTCAAAAGCAGAGTAATTGCCCCCAGAAAAGATTGCTCAAAAATTCCTAATAGAAAAATTATAAAGTAGAAACTGCTGTCTAGAAACAGATATAATAAAATACTGCCTAATCATTACTAATGGCTTGAAATAACTTAATAAAAGCAAGTGATTTACAGTCATAATTGATATTTGATTTAAAAATAGCTGGTTTCCTTTTTATGCAATTTTTCTCAAAAATAGAGTGCTCAAAAACACTGTTCTAAAAAAAGAAAAAACCCACTATTCCTACAGTTTTCAGTTAGTTGAGTTTTGTTTAATTAAGGTTTAAATTGCTTAGAAAATATGCTACTCATTAAAATATTGTTGCTTTTATGTTTCATGACATTACGCATGAACAGAGATCAGGTTGTCCCCCTTCTCCTCTGGACAGTGAGTACCTCCAGCACCGGAACTCTGACCTACATGTGTGCTCTGGTGCCCAACATAGAATTTCATACAAAATAAACCTCAAATAAAAGTTTGCTGAACTAAAGATGGGTGGCAATAGTGACTCTGGCAAAAGAAACATCAGACTTAAGTTGTAAAAATCAAGTATGCTAGACAATATCACTCTAAACACCTGTCAGGAATTGAATGCTTCACAGTCTCAGGAGGAGCCAGGAGCAGCTGACTATTCCAAAATGAGTCTGTTTCTAGGTCCAAAAGAAGGGGAAAAGCAGAAAGAGATGCTAGAGTTTTACCACAGAAAAGGCAAAAATGAAGGCAAGAAGAAAATGAGAAAGGACACCATAATTCATTTTTAATACATCCTTAACAAAACAGATAATATATACTATTGACTCACCTAAAATGCCTAGTGAAAAAAGAAAAAAGAAAAGAAAAAGTCCCTAAGCTCTTTTGAAGCTTCTAACATAGTGTTTAACTGTCAAAATGAATATGTCTTATATCTTAGTCTCACATTATGAATTTTGTTCATTTTATAGAACAAGCTTTCAAGAATTTCCTCACACACCATGATAAATATTCTACTAAGACAGCTTAAAAGCCTAGCATATATAGTTGGGGAAGCAGTTGCATAATAATGTAAATATGACCTAATGTGAAGTCCTTCTTCCTATAAGCACCTAACACCTCCGAGTAACTAGTATTTTGGAAGCAGCCTACTTTCCTAAAGCCACAGCATATCAATATTTGCTGTAATTTGTCATAAAATCTATAGCTGTGTTATCTTTTTTAATGGAAGAAATTTACTAGTACAGACATCCAAAACAAAAGGCAATTCAAAATTCTTTGTAATTTGGCCTTAGAATACATCATATTAAATTATTTACTTTTCTAATTATGTTTTATTCATGTAAATATGTAAAGTTCAGAATTATATATAACACTTTGATTCAATATATTAACACTTTGAAAGTCAGCCACACCCCCCCAACATCCACAATCAGCCCAGTGATGACCGCTGAGCAGCTGCAGGAAGCACCCTATACTCCAGAGCTGGGGCAGTGGGGGGCTGACGGCCTCAGCCACTCCCCCGCAACATCTGCAACCAGCCCAGTGATGACCACGGAGCTGCCACAGGAAGTGTCACGGGGCTTCCAAGCCAGGGTAGTGGGGGGCTGAGGGCTTCAGCCACACACCCCTGACATCTGCATCTAGCCCAGCAATGATTGAGCTAGAAGTCCCCTGGTCTCCCCTGCCAGAATGAGGAGGGTGCTATGGGCTTTGATCATGCTCCTCCTCCTTCCTCCTCTTCTCACCCTATTTCCCTAACCCTTTCCCTCTACCCCTCCCCCACAACTGATCTGCAACAACATCTTAGAATGAGGCATAGAACCAAGGGAAGCCAAACCCAGCCACAATTAGGCAAGCTGCCACCACCACCCTAGGGTCCAGCCAGGGGCCTGAGGCATGGAGCCGGGGAAAGCCAAACCCAGCTGTAACTAGGCAAGCTGCTGCCAACATCCTGGGTCCCTGCTGGGGTCCTGAGGCATGGATCCAGGGGAAGCTGAATCCAGCCACAAGTAGGCAAGCTGCTGTCACCACTCTGGGGCCCTGCTGGGGTCCTGACGCATGAAGCTGGGGGAAGCTGAACCCAGCTACAACTAGGCAAGCTGCTGCCACCAACCCAGGCCCCACCAGGGTCCTAAGGTATGGAGCTGGGGGAAACTGAAGCCAGTCACAACCAGGTAATGAGCACACCAGAAACACCATTTCCACGTGGGTTGCCCACCATAGCCACCGCGATTGCCACAGCTGCCACAAAAGCAGCTAGTCTCTATAGCAGCAGTCATAGCCATCGTGAAGATGGCATGCAAGACTCTCAACTGCACTGACACAAGGAGAGGCAGCAACAGGGACCAAAAAAAAAAGAAAAAAAAAGTAGAGGTCCTCTCTCCCCCCAAAGCACACTCCAGAGTAATAGAAAACGCATCTTATTTAGGATAATAGCAGAGGACTTGATCACACCTCTCTCAGGACTGGACAGATCATCTAGGCAATAAACCAACAGAGGAACAGTTAATCTATCAGATGAAGAAAACAAATCTATGGTTATTAGAGTGGGGAGGAGGGAAGGGGAAGAGAGGAAGGGGAGGGAAAAAAAGAGGGGAAGGGAGAGGGGGAGATTGGATAAGGGGCATAAAGAATAAGTATGATTTGTGACAATGAATATGCTAATAAAAATAAATTTAAAAATAAGCTTTATTATTACCTAAAAAAGTCAATATTTATAGAATCATAAGTCATCTAATCAACCAGCAAGCTTTAGAAACAAGCATATGAGGTGCTGCTCTCCCCTGCCTACTCCCAATGTAAATATCATTCCATAAATGCACTGGTTTTGCCTCAGGTAATCCTAGGTTCGAATTCCAGCTCTGCTACTCTATTATCTATCCTTGGACAAATTACTTAAATTACCTGAGTATCAGTTTCCCCCTCTGTAAAATGGCATGGAAGGCACTTAGCTCAGTGTTTGGCCCCTTGCAGGCATCCATCCTTCTTTCCTGCTTATCTCCCGTCCTCTTTTTTGCCTAGACCATAGCTCAGTATTATTTTTAAAATTTTTTTATTATTTATTATAAGCCTATTCATTATTACAAATCGTGATTTTTCTTTATGCCCTTTACCCAACCTATCCCTCCCCAAACCTCCACTCTGCCTCCTCCCATCTCTAGTATCCTTAGGTTTGTTTGCTCCTTCTGAAAGTTCAATGTATTGGTCCTTCCTTCCTTCTTTTCTTCTTTCTTTGTCTTTCATTCTCTTTCTTTCCTTCTTTTTTAGCACCCAGTTATGAGTGCGAACATGTGGTATTTCTCTTTCCTTGTCTGGCTTATTTCACTTAACATAATTTTCTTCCACAAAAAAAGAATGAAATTCTGCCATTTTCAGCAACATGGATGAGTCTAGCTAAGTATTATTAACATACAATCTCTCTTGGAGATGCAGTTAGAATAGGAAGAATTCAGTGGAAATACGATTGTCTCAAATCTCACAGCAGTGGCAGTCTCCACGGCCCCTCCTTAGAGCAGGGTGATTCAACCAAAGCTAATGAGAACATTTCTCTAACCAGCACCCTCTATTTGTTCAACATGTTAATGAACAATGCCTTTTCCAGAGGGGTCATTTCCTCCCAGTGTGAACATCACTAGATTTTTATTTTAAAATAAAAATACCAGTTATTTTATTTTGTATCTCAAAACCATCACCTCCACTGCAAAGTAAGAAATGCCAGTGTTAGGAAATGCTCTTTTCTATTTATAAAATAGAGTGAGTAATAGTAACTATACTTTGCTTTAAGTGCGTCAAATAGATAAAAGACTATTAAAATTATTTGTCTTCCACAGAAGAATTCCTTGCTTTATATAAATACTTGCCACAGAACACTTTTAAATATCAAGTTCTCCAGTGCAATAGTTTTCAATAATTTTTAAATGTAAAAAGTATGCATGCTAATTATTTGGAAAATAAAGAATGGGAGAAAAATATGTATATTAGTTATGGTTCCTGTCAGTCTCCTTTTTGCCCTATGCATAGATTTTAAATGTAATTAGAATGTTAGCTATACTATAAAAGCAATTATGTAGCTCATTTTAATATATCCTTTCACAAAATATCACTTTTTAATGACAGCACAAATTCATTCAGTGGACAAACTATTTTTGTTGACCCTGTTGTTGGACATTAAACTGGTTGTCAAAGTTTAGAATACACTTTCGTTCATATTTTAATCCATAAATTAAACTTAGTGGATGAATTAATTTGGTTCTTTCCTGTTAAACATTTAACTTGTTTTCAACATTATAAGATTATAAATAACATTTTGATTCATGATTTATCCATAAAGCTTTTTTCCATGTATAGCATTATTTCATTAGACTATAATGCCTAATGTGAAATTACTGGGTGAAGGAGTATAAACATTTTGGAGGTTCTTGTTGGGAAAATATAGGGAAATGGTCAGGGCCTCTCAGATGTTCAGAATCTTGCTGAGCATTTGCTGTGAATAGGTTATGTGTGGGTGGAGTTAGTGCACCCGCACGGCACCACCACCTTGGCTGGAGTTTACTGCCTTAGGTGGATGCCATTCTGCGCCGCCATGCTTTCCAACCTATGGTTCCCAAGGACCTGTTTGCCAGTTACCTAGCTCATAGACCTGCATGTGAGGGGTCTGGTGACTCAGCCTGAAGCGTGAAGGGTTTGTGACCCAGTCTGGACAATGGGCTTGAGGGGTCTGTGAGCTCCACACCCAGACCTAGCCCTACAATTGGTGTAGTTGGCAGGATTATGGGCAGAATAAGTAGCTTTACAATTGGCGTAGTCAGCAGGACGCTGACATTAGCTGTAGCGCCACAATTGGCCCAGTTGGCAGGATTATGGGTAGAATAAGTAGCTTTACAAATACTTAATGTGAAATTACTGGGTGAAGGAGTATAAACATTTTGGAAGTTCTTGATACATATCTGTCATTCTGGTTTTTAAAATGGAGCACCAATTTGTACTACCTTCGGTAATATATTAAAGTGTCTGTTTTCATGCACTCTTCTCAGCCCTGCATATTATCATTTTATTTTTGCTTATTTCTCAGATGAAAATTTTATCTCATTTTATCATATTTCTTTTATTATCAGTGCATTTTTCCAATGTGGGTTAACTAGCTATATTTCTTATTTGGTGTACTTTCTGTTCAGCCAGTTCTTTCTGGAAGGCTCACTGTCCTGCTAAAGAAGGGAAATTCTGAAAATTGAGCTAAAGGATAGAAAAATAATCATCTGATATCAAATTTATCACTTTTAGTCTTGGGAAAAAAAAAACATTAAATACTAACACTCAAAATCTCCCTATCACCAATCCACCCTTCGTGTCTATTGCCAATTCCAGACCTCTTATTAACCCAATCTGTCAACTCCTGCTTGTCCAATCCTTCACAACATCTGCTGTCCTTTTACTCTATTCCTGTTCCCAGGCTTAAACAATGATGGAAAAAACACTACAACCAAGCTGACCAGCTCCCCATATGGCTCATCAGTTCTAACTACAGCCGGGCCCTTGCTCATCTGTCCTTCCATTCATATTCGCTTACTCCTTGGACTACTAGCATTTTCAACAAGTGAATCCTTTCAATTCTCAAGGTTCTAATGTCCCAAATTTACCCTCACTCTGAGCAGATATCTTTTCTTCCTTCCTCACACTTGAAGGTAAGACACTTTCAATTGTGAATTTCCCTAACTTTCCCACACAATAAAATTTCTGTCTACTTTTATCCTTCTCTCCTCAGTCCCCCCACTCTCAGAAAAACATCATATGTCCTCTCTTTTCCAACACTAACTCCTTCCCTAGATCATTCACTTTTCTGTTTCTTCCATAACCTTTGCTTCATTTCCCAATCACCCAGGTTACAGGCCCCACAGAACTTTAATCCCTCCCAGTTCTTTACATGTACAAGCATCTCATTAATTGCTAAATCATATAATGCATGATTTTTTTGCCTCCTAAATCCGCTTTTCCCTTCTCAAGACTGCCATCCCACTTTAGGTCCTCTCTATCACTTTTCTGGACCCTTAAGGCATTCTCTAATGGGTCTGTCTATATTTAATATCTCATTTCTCCAATGTTTTACAATCTATACAGCTACCAAATTTATTTTCTTGTGACACAGATTAAATCACATCTTAAAATACAGAGATAATCACATCATTTCCTTTCATCATTCCCTATCATGACTTTTAGATGCCTATAGGATAAAGCAGAAACTACCTAGCACATCAATCATAATCTGGTCCCAACCTACCTAGTCTATTTCACCTCCTAATTCTACCTCCTCTATTTAAAATGCCTTATTCTGGAGCCATGCTGTACTACACTCTGCTCCCTGAATATATCATCATGTACAGCTACACTCCGATGCAGTGGTTTCTGTTGCTGCCTCTGTGAAAGTTGCCTTACTGTCACTTCAAAATTTTGGGATCCCCAAGAGCTCAAATGCCACTCCCTCCATGAAACCATTTCCAGTCTCCTTAGTAGAAATGTATGACTATTGCCTCTGGACTTCTACAGCGCTTTATTCACCAATTCTATAGCATTTACCACAGTATGTCATGAATTATAATTATCTGTAGACATATTTATATAATTATTTGTAGACATGTCCCTCACTAGGTTACGAACAGTTTAAATGGAGAAACTGTGCTGTATTCTCTGTATTTTCCCAATGATTAATGTCAGGTCAGTGCTTGACAATAAATACTTATTGAATGAATAAGTGAACCCTAATTTTAATTGAAGGGGAGGGAATCAGCAGCCACAGAAAACATATCCTTTGTCATACTTCCTCTAATCTGCACTGAATTCCCTGACTTAACTTGGGTCTTACTAATGTATTTAAATAAAAGTGCTTTACCTAACTTTTATTATGACTCAAATTATATAAAGCCTAAAATATAGCATTTTATCCATGGGAAAAGAAAATTTGGCAAGGAAACAGGATTTCACAGTGATGCAAACACAATGCTAGTAAATTGTTTCTAGTGAAAAGGGCAATAACACAGATTCTCAAAATTAGAGATGGAGCTGGAATTCGAAGAATCTGTTTAACATAAGATTAGTTGCTACGAGCAAAACATAAAATGACAGAGCAGGAGACATACATTTTAATTAAGCCAGTGTATGTGGAGAAGACCTACTGCAAAAGGCAAAGGTATATTAAAATCCATAGCTTTGAGACATTTCATTAGATACGGAATTTCATTTGTGCTTCCTTTCTTTATTTGGTCTTCCCTGGGAACGCTGCCTCTTAAAAAATTGACTTGTGTTGGCAGGAAAAAAGCCCCAAATTTAGCCAGCAATTTAGTGACCAGTTTTGCAATGCAAATGATTATAGTTAACTTGAATATCTGACTTTATCATTTGCTCTCACACAAAGACAATTAATGTTGCCAAGGAGATTACCATGAACTAAGACGCTTGCTGTTGATTTAGATCCTTGCATGACAGCTGGAATAATGGGGTCTTTAAAATTGCTAATCACTTATTTTTGAGTGGGTCAATGAGATATTTGTTGCCATGGGCAGCTTGATGGGGGAAGTCACTCCACCTATATCATAAACACATTTATATGTATTTGATTATGCACATCTGTCTGCCCTAAAGATTAAGCGTGTGTAGAGCAGGAACTTTTAGCTATGATGCCCTGCCTCTGATTTAATCTGAATACTTAAATAAAGGTGTAAATCTTACTGATTAAAAGCCCCAGCAGCAATAAAATGACCTATAAAGAAGGAAAAAAAAGAATCATACCTTTGAACCAGGTGGTGCTGTCAAGCCTAAAAAGGCATATACTGCATTATTTTCTCTGGCTTCAAAGAAGGCATCATAGTCCTTGGTGAAAGAAGGTAAGAAAAATTAGTAACATACAACCAACGCAGGAAAGAAAAAAAGAAATTTATTCAGAATGACTTAACTGGTTACCAGGATAAGCTACCTCTTGGGGGAAGAGAGGCTAACTAATTTCTATAATGCTAAAATTCTGGAAGGAGTAATAGAGGCAAGGCTTCTGGATCCCATTTAATGTGGGTTAGAAAGTATGCTGTTCTGTGAGGCAGAAACTTCAGAATGGTTAATACCATATCACATAGAATTGAAATATGCCTGCAGCTTCCTCCACTGCCCCAAATAGCCAACTATTCACCAGTAAGAGACTGCTTATTTCTGGTAGAAAAGTGCTCTTCCAGTGCACCATATTTCTCTTCCATTATTCCATTATTCATTTAGGAAGAGATTTTCTCATAGCCTACAGTAGGCCACATATTAACTGGTCATGTCCAAGGCCAGAAGAATAGTGAATCTGTGCTGTGCTTTGAGGAAGGGAATGAGATGTTCAAGAAATAGGACCAGAAGAGCTACCAAACCACTAAGAGGTTTGAACCTAGGGGTCCAACAAAAGCCTCACTCAGCTGAATTTGGTTGAGCTTTCTACTTAATCATCCTCTAACCCACCAAGCATTCTGTAAAAGTAACAAACAGACTCCCTAAATTTGACAATGACTTGTAATCAACAGCAAACATACTTAGAAACCATAGCTATTGTCTGCACTTGGTCTTAATTTGTTTGATTTTTGAACACACAGAGATAAGCCTGACATTTTGGCTGATTTATTAGAGCTGAAAAGCACTTGTGACTTGCTGACTTCTCCAGAGATTGCCTCACCGACAGATTACCAATTACAGGTTTTTTTCTCAAGCACCTTTTCTTTTCCAGGCATTTGAAGGATTTGAAGATATAAAGTTTAGAGCTTCTCAAAACATTGATGACCCTAAAAGTTTGCACCCCACCCCAAAAAACATCAGAATAGTAATTTTCTTCTTATTTGGACTTTCTTTTAACACAGTCAGAATTGTTTAGAGCCATTTGATCTCTCCCCAAGGATTGATTCAAGGCATCTTTTTGTGTACTGTAGATGTTGACAAAAGAATGAATCCTAAACAACTGGCATATATGCCCAGCCTCCTATCCTCTTTGAGTTCACTATTCAAAAGTGAAACTGACTCAATCCTGACACCAATTACAAACTAAGACACATGACTGCTAAGCTACTCAAAGCCATATATGTGTGTGTGTATCATATCTACACTCAGCCACTAGTTTAAAAGAATTCAGGAGTCATACAGAAGGTATTTCTTATTATCATCAAAGCAATAGAAACAACCCATGTCAGCTTTTAGATTTCTGTGAAAGAAAGCAAGTCTTCAACTGTATTGAAATCTGTCATACAATGCTATGTAGGGGAATCTAGTTGCTTCTATTTCAAGTATTTTGGGATTAAAGTACAGTATATAATCATTTGTTGGCCCCAGACTTAGCAAACACAAACGGGTCTGTGAATCTGAGAAAAAAGAAAATCAGGTTCTTAGTTAAGCCATGCTAACTCACTTAGTCCACAAATATTTATTGAGGACCCACTATGTGCCGAGCACTATTCTTGGTGCTAGGAATATAAAAGTAAACAAAACAGACTATGACATAGGAATTCTTCTGAGTAAAAAATTTAAAGATACTTTATTTACATCTCTGGCATTCCAATAACATTAATACAGAATGTATTCCACCATATATTAGTATCATATTAATTATCATTTCATGGAAATGTGTTTTAGTTCTTCACACACATAAGTGCTTTCAGAACCAAGATTATCTTTATAAATTTTGTATCTTCTATAGAAGAGCCTCACATATATAGGTAGAGTAATAGTTTCAGTCATATTCCAGTCGGAAAACAACGTAAGCCATAGATAGTGGTTCTCAACAGGATGTGATTTTTCGCCCAGGAGACACCTGTCAATGTCTGGAGACATTTTTGGTTGTTCACAACTGAGGGAATACTGGTATTTCATGGGTTGGAGCCAGGGCTGCTGCTAAAGACTCTACAATGCAAAAGGTAGCCCCCACAACAAAGAATTATCTGCCTAAGATGTTAATAGTGCCAAGGTTGAGAAACCCTTATGTAGTTTAATAAAGAGATTTAATACAGAGACATAATTATAAAGGATTAAAGAACAGAAAGGCAAATAAGGGTGGTAAGACAACCCAGAGATTAGCAACACCAGGAAGCTGCTACCACAACCAGGTTTAAAGGGAAAAGTGAAGAAAGTAGTAAGTCAGGGCCCAGAAACTGGAACACGTGGTAGAATTGGCACCACAAAGGAGATGCAGCCACTGTCATGGACACCTCTAGAAACAGGGAGGAAGGAGATATCTTGACATTTCCCTTCATGCTGCCCTCCACTCTTCCAACCAGTGCCTCCTATTATTAGCCAAAGCTAATAAGGAGTCAGCTTGCAATGGAGACTAGGAAATGTAATTTGCAGAGGCAAGACCCCCACAATATAGAATAGAGCAAGAAAAGAAGGGAGAGGAGATCGCTAAGCAAAAAGGAAAATAAACAACACAGTGGCTCAATAGAGTAGGAGCTTCAGAGTTAGACAAATCTAGGTTTAAATCCTAGTTGCATTACTACTCACTAGTTATGTGATTTAGGAAGCCAGTCAACCTCTTCTAGGCCTCAAATTCTTTATCTATAAAATTGAACTAACAATACCTATCTCATAGGAATAGTATGAGGAAAAATTGTGACAATAGCTGACATACTAGTTTTTTTATGAATTATTACTATATACACGTCTCTCTAAGAGTTTGTAAAATGACAAATCTTGATTCTTATTGTTATTAAACTTCTAACTCAGTGCCTGGCACAAACAGGTACTCAACAGAAGACAAATTATTTTTCCATTAACAAATATTTATTTGATTTGTTGAGTCTCACTTTCTGCCCCTTCATTTCCATATTCCCATTTCTCAGTGGTACTTGCCTTATTTCTATAACACACTCCATTCCTCTGCAGTGAGGCTTCTGAGGGACAAGTAAGCCAAGTAAATATGGTTTCTCAAATGTACCCTTATGATCCAAAGTGTGTTTTTTTCCAAAAGTCAAACAATCGAAATTTATGCTTCAAAGAGGAGAGGTTAAGACAACATATGCTGGCTTACACTGGACTGATGACCTTTGAGGCCTCTCCCAGCCCCTGAGATTCAATGATTTGCAGAAATTTCAAATAACTATACAGGCACTGAGGTTTCATTATCTAAAAGAATAGCTGAAGGACTTAGAAGGAGTGACATCATCATGAAGGCAGAATAGATGATCCCTAGTGTCTCTCACCCCACAACCAATCAACTTACAACTATTAAAATGAAAAACTGCCATCCTGAAATTCCTGGAGCTCTGGGAAAAAAGAGAAGTCTACAGAGTTTGTGAAGGCATGAAAGGCCACAGCAAGAGGTGGGAGGGACCACTCCAGTCATTCGAAGCCCCATCCCCTTCCAGGGCTGGCATGATAAAAGGCAGGGAGCAGCTGCTAGCACATGGAGCAGCTACCAGGAGATGGTAAAGCTGCAGCCACATACTTTGCATGAAGCTACTTGAAGTCTACATCTCCCAGACCAGCAAAGCCACTAGCGAGCTTCTACTGAACTTACATAGGAGTGAAGGAAGACAGCAATGGGAGGAAGGAACCACCCACATGTCAGTGAGTCTTTGCAAGGAACTTGTGCCTGCCCAACAGGAAATATTTGGCATGTCGAGTGGGAAGCTGTCCCACTAGGGGAGCACTGGAGTATAATGTAGGCAGCTGAACTGCCTTTCAATCAGCATGGGTGCCACACAGTGGAGACCACTCAGGGTAAGAGAACTGTGGGGGTGCAGTTTGTGGGAAAGATTCAGTCTTGGGCCAGATTTTCCACACAGACCAGTTGTGTCTGTGATGACCCCACAAGACCCAAAAGTGACTAAAAGATTGACAATTAAACATATCTTGGGTGGGAGAGGGGAGAGGGAGGAGGGAGGGAGGTTTCGGTGATGGGTCATAATAATCAACCACATTGTATATTGACAAAATTTTTAAAAAAGTAAAAAAATAAATAAATAAATAACCCACACAAAAACCTTTCCCAGTTTGAGAAACAGCAGCAAAGCAGCATTTTAGCTCAAACACAGAGCTCAAGTCACAGTACCCACAGTAAGTTTTCCCCAATTTGGGAATTAACCACAAGATAGCAAATTAGTTCCAGTGCAGAGTTTAAGCAGTGATGCTACCTATTAATTCATCACAGAACAAAAAAAAAGTCCACAGACTAGAGACAAATCTCTGATATTAACCAGTAAAGGTCTAACACCACCAAAGAACACATATAAAACCTGGAAGAGGTAGCCATCTCCTCAAATGCACAGGCATCAATGTAAAGACACAAAGATTGAAAAAGAACAGAGAAATATGACACCACCAAAAGAAAGAAACAAAGCACCAGCAATGAACCCAGAAGAACAGCAGATTTATGAAAAGTCTGACAGAGAATTCAGAATAACCCTCTTAAGAAAGTTCAGGAAGTCACAAGAAAATACAGATAGAAAATTAAATGATATCTAGAAAACAGTTCAGAAGCACAATGAAAAACTCGACAGAAGAACAGGATCAATTTAAAAAACAATTAGAAATTCTAGAAGTAAAGAATAAATTATCTGAACTGAAAAACTCACAAGAAAACTCCAACAGCAGACTTGATCAAACAGAGGAAAGAATCAGTGAGCTTGAAGACAGCACATAAAAAATTACCCAATCAGAGGAACAAAAAGAAAAAAGAATAAGAAAAAGGAAACCAAAATGCCACAATTATGGGACTCCATCAAGCAAAATAACCTCTGCATGATTGGCACACCCAAAAGAAATGAAATAGGAAGAGACGTAGAAAGCATATTCATGGAAATAATGACTGTAAATTTCCCAAGTATGGAGAAAGATGACAGCATCCAGGTATAGGAAGCTCA